ACCATTACTTTCTCAGACTTCCCCATCCTCAACTCATTCACTCTTCCTTCATATATTGTTTTGCAATTCATTCCTCTTTCATTCTTTTTATATGGCCCAACCCTATCATCTTTTGTACTGGTCATTTTTATAATCAGTCTGCATTCATTCATTCACTTCTTTCACTATACAGGTAGTCCTTGGTTAATGACCACTTATTCAGTGGCCATTTGAAGTTACAATAGTGCTGAACAAGTGGTGGTTACAATCGGTCCTTGAAATTCTGGCCATCCTAGCACCCCCACAGTCACGTGATTGCAGTTGGGATGCTTGGCAACCTGCTTGCACTTATGACAGTTGCAATGTCCCGTGGTCACATAATCGCGATTTGCGACCTTCCCTGCCTGCTTCCCACAAGCGAAGTCAATGGGGAAACTGACAGGGAAAATTGCAGGTTGCTTGGGTAAGTCTCCCCTACTCATGCATCTTCCCCTACCCCCTCTGCACTCACCCCTTGCTGGCCCCCCCATCTTTGCACACCTTCTATGAGCCTCATTGCACTCACGCCACAGCTCCCCAGCTATCCACACACTCTTCCCGACCACTCACGCACCCTCTCCCACCCAGCAGCAGCCATCCCAAGCCCTGCGGCACTCATGCCGCACCACCCCAGCCACCTGCACACCCCCTCGCTCCCTCTCATACCTGGCAGCAGCCATTTACCTGCCTGCTGGCCTGCTTGCAACCCTCCTGGGATTTGCAACTTCCTGCCGGCTTCTCCACTGACTTTGGTTCTTGGAAGCCAGCAGGAAGTTGTGAGGAGATGCTCATTTAACGATCCACAATCCTCATTTAACAGCGGCAATGAGGACTGCAAGGATTGCCATCACTAAGCAATGTGGTCATGTGATGTTGCACTTTATGACCACATCGCTTGGCAACAGAAATTCCAGTCCCAATTGCCATGGTAACTTGAAGACTACCTATAAGTTTATTTCTTGCAACAGATCACATACTTTCCATTACCTTTTTAT